CTCAGTGGTCAAAATACCACTGCTGGTCAGAAGCACGTTTTTGGACTTGTCAGTGCTTTTGTTGTTGTACCATCTGGAAGCATCCAGCATATGGCCCAGAGAGGATCAGCTTTTCAGCCTTTAATGTAAAGTCTTTCCATAGATTTGGGCTAATCGTAAGAAGCATAAGTCTCTTGACACAGAATAGGAAGAACACAGAAAAAAACCCAGTAATTTCTCTATTTTTCTACAGGTATGTCTTGGCCATTTATGTTAGAGGTGTTAAACAGATTTTGATTTTTAACCAGAGGTATTGCTGTGATTATCTAGGCAGATATAGATGGGACTTTTTTGCCTTTTTACAGACTTCAGATCTAAAAGATTACCATCTCTAGACATTTGTAAAATCTTTCAGCTACCCAAAGACCTGCCTGATGCTCATTATCGCAAAGGTTGGTTAGCATCCACTAAATAAGGTATTAGACACTATTGCACAGAATCAGTAGATGCTGGCCCTAAATTTGAACATAAATTCTTTCTGCAATTGACAGGAGCATAATTTTAAATCTAAACTATGATGGTCCGAATCCAAGAACTCTGCAAACATGATGGGAAAAGAGGTGTTAGGAGGGAAGGAAATATTCAGCTTTTCTTGGGTTTATCAGGAGTCATGTTTGCCAGTGGATGTAGAAGAACTCATAAGCTCTGGAGATCTCTAGTCTAGTCCTTGCTTTGCAGGTGGGCTTGTAGGTCTTTTTGAACCAGTCCCCTCTTCCATGCCTTTCCATATCTGTTAATACAATTAATGAGAATTACTCCTTTCATGAAGTACTGTTTGAACAGTGTTATGCAAGATCTGTTATGATCACTATTTACAACATTTGTTCCAAAAGTACCATGGTAATATTTTAAATCATTTGACTAGAAAAGATGAGAATAGCTGAACTGAAACAGAATATCTTGACTTTGAGAAGAACACATCCTTTAGAAAAGGACAAAAAGAACAGATTTGAATGTCAACAGGATGCTCCACATGTTCAAAACTTTTTAGTCTTGAAGAAAGCTTTCATCTGCTTCTCATCCCTTAGTTTTTCAAGGAGGTTTCCTTTGTTTTGAACCACTTATCTATTGCTACAAGACTTTGCCTTTGTACTGAAAAGATTCTTCCACCCTTGCAGATAGACTAATATTTAAAAGGCTCTAGTGATTGGTAGCTTTATGCTTTTTATATAAACTAATCTCCTGACATCCCCTGATTTAAGTACAGTTTTCCCTGGCCTGCATCTTCACACTGCTTGCAATATCCTCCTTGATCTAAGTGAATGCAAAGTGAAGATAATTCAACTTTCTGTTCAGAACAACGGTAACATTTTAGTTATGTTCCTCTTCAGTCTGTTCTGCTGCCAAAAAAGTAAAATTGAAGGTCAAAGAGCACATAGAAAGAATTCTACTTTTTTTTACTTACCTCTTCAGACTTCCTGGAAGTCGCCATATCTTCTTGAGATACACATGTATTAGGCAGAGTGTTGGAAATGGGAATATGCAGGCCACAGAAGGTGCAAAGTGGTAGATCAGAAAAATAAATACTTATTGCACATTCTTTTGCCTTTCTGTAATGTGGTTCTGGAATTTCTCAATGAACTTTGCAAATTTATTCAGTGTTACATCACATAATTAAAATACCTTTTCTTCCAAAGTTTCCTCGCAGTGCCAGATCTCAGTCTAGAACTGTGCTCCTTCTCTTTAATCCTACTACATGACTCCTCTATCAACAGTTTTGTCTTTAGCAAATCTGTTTGCTGTATTTATAGATAAAGGAAACCCTAAGTGCTGTAAAATACTGAAACAATTCTAGACCAAAATTTTGAGATACATACAGTTTTTGTGCTATGCTTTAATCTGAGTCAGTCTGATTGTATGTAGATTTTGATGCAGTTTCACTTCTTGCTGATATAGATCATACATTTGTAATCTTAGGTAAAACTAACAGTAAATAATTACAAACTTTTTGAAGCAGCAAAATTCTGCTGGATTTAATGCCTCTCGTGTCCTCAAGTTTCTCTTCTCCATGATATAAAGATAATATTCTTGTGTGATATCTGGTTTCAGAAAATAAAAGAGTTGAATACTTTATTATATTACAGTTCTGTGATACTTTCACTGTACTATTGAACCAATCATATTCACCACCAGTATTCATTTTATATGAAAAACTGAAATGTCCCATGAGTAAGTTCTGAGACCTTTTATGTGGTTACTGTTGCTAAGGAAACCACATCCTTGATATCCATGTGTCCAACATGTCAGTCTCATTTTGCATCTAGCTATCCATGAGCCAACACTGCAGTATGGAGTACAAAAAAAACCAACAAAACATCAAAACTAAAAAAAGAGAGAGAGAGAGGTGAAATACAAAATACAAAAAAAAAGCTGAAAATTGTTTCCTATCAAAATGTATTTGCACACCTGTTGGAGTTAATTCCGAGTCCTTCCATGTTACGTCTGCCTTGATTTTGATAGACAATAGTTGCTTGCAATAGTCTGAAAAACAGCCTGTATAAACTGCAATAAAGGTTTCCCATAAAACAGCAAACTATATTCTGTGCTAATCATCATCAGGCAGGAAGTTGGTCCTTTCTGAAGTTCCAGTGAGGAAGATCAAGTCCAAATAGCCATTCTTGAAAATATATTTCATACAATATTCCACAGCACCGAAAATAAATGATTGGCACTACAACAGAAACACAATGCTTTCTTTCATTTTAAATCCTTAATAAACTTTAAACAAACTTTTTTTTAAATGAATTTATGTACTCATCATCATATTTACTAAACTTATAATGCAGCATGCTGAATTTTAATATACTGTAGCAACTTTTTATCTGAAAGTCTAATAGTGTTGTTCTCATGACAGCCTAAATGCTTTAGAAGTGTAAGACCACTTAGTTTCTCAGAGGACCAAGATGCAGACTTTTGTGTACCCTGCTCCTTGAAATTCCAAGAGCACTGGGTGACTAATAGGCATTTACACTTTAAAAATGTCATTATTTTTTCAGATGTACCTACACTGACCAATGTGTCAAAGCAGTGTGTCAAAGACAACAGAACGAGTTCTAAAGAATCTACTGTATCTAAAAGCACAGTTAGGTGCTATGAAGGAATACAGCATAGCTGTGTCTGTCTAGCCTATCCCTATGCCTAGCACAATTCCCTTCTGAAGCAGTGTCATTATTGTTAAAAAAAATATATATAAAATATAAAAAATTTTTGGCCTGTATTGCCTACTTTTATTATCTTATGCTGTTTGGGTCTTTAGGGTCAAATATTGAGTAAGATCTGTGTTGTGCTAGTTTTCAGTTGGATTGTTAATATGGGTACGTGCTTCAAATCCTCATTTAGGGTCAGAGCACCGTAGGAAAATTCAGTTTGGAAGAGACCTCAGTTTGGAAGAGACCTTTAGCTCACAGCAGGGCCAACTCTGATGTCAAGTGAGATTGCTCAAGGTTGGTTGTGTCTCACTATGTCATGAAAACCTCTAAGGATGGAGCTTGGAGGCCTGCTTTCCAGGTAGCTTATTTTATTACTTTACTGTATTCATGGTGAAAATGCTTTTCCTTATCTCTTCTCTTGCTCCAGTTTAGGTCCTTGCCTCTCATCTTCCAACCAATGTGCTACTGCAAAGAATCTGGATTAGTCTTCTTGATTACTACCTCATAGGTACACAGTGGGCTGCTGGTAGGGCTGCTGAAACTACATATTCCCCACAATGGACAAGTCCAGCTCTCTTAGTCATTTTGCATGGGACAAGTGTTCCAGAATCTTAATGTCTTTCCTGTGCTATGGAGCCCAAAACTGCACACACTGCTCTATATGGCTGAAATATTTTTAAGTGGTTACATAAATCTTAGGATTTAGAAATTAATAACCAAAAATTACAGTAGAATTTCTCTCTCATTCTTTCACTCTTATGTGGTGCTATAGGTCTGCCTAATAATTAATTTAGGGATCAGAAAAAAATTCCTTCTCTATTACTGCTAGCTGGTCTGAAGTGACATGGAAAAAAGAAGATCTGGAATCCATCTATGGTAACCCTCTTTGCGTGAAAATGGCATAAGAATGCAAATTTAAGCTGAAAACTAAAGGGGTAGCTCACAGAGACTGATCACAGGTCCACCAAGGCAGGAACTTCTAACTTGGCACCAGACTCCAAACAAATGCTTGGCATATTGCCATTAGCTGTAGTTTACTATGCCCCTCCTTCAGTGGTAAACTAATGAAATTAAGGCCCATCAATTAAAACTCTCTCTGTGGCTCTTGTTCATTCATCTGCATATCCTGTTCAACCCTTTCCTAGGATGTGCAGTTAGCCTGAGTGCTAGCAGGCTCTGAAGCCAAAGACATTAAGCATGAATGTTATCATGGCTGGGCTTCACAAACAAAGATTTGGGAAAGGCTCTATCCGCATTTGTTACAAGCGTGCTGGTGGTTAATAAGGCCAATAAAAGATAGACATATCCGATTGCAAAAGGCACAGCAGAAAGACTCCTTAGGTGGTAAATTCTGCAAGACACAGTTCTTTCTGCATTGTCTTTTCTCCTCGAGAGTGATCCTGCGTGCATTCTCAAAGGAAGCAGCAGCGTTATAGATGGTGTGTCTCCAGGTCTCCCAATTTGATCAATATGGCCAAGGCTGAGATGTTGCTTCAGGGAGTCCTTGTATCTTTTCTTCAGGGTTCCTCTCTTGCGGCAGCCGGTGGCAAGTTCACCATAAAGCAAGATCTTAGGGAGGCGGTGGTCCTTCATCCTGGAGACGTGCCCTGCCCAGCACAGCTGTGTTCTCAGCAACATGGTCTCAATACTTGTAACTGTTGCTTGTTCTAGAACAGATGTATTGGTCACATAATCTGACCAGTGGATGTTTAGGATTGTACGGAGACAGCGTTGATGGAAGCGTTCTAGGAGACGCAGGTGGTGGCGATAATGACCCATGATTAGGAACCATATAAGAGAGTAGACAGCACAATGGCTTTGTAAACACTGATCTTGGTACTTTTCTTCAAGTGTTTATTACACCATACTCTTTTATGGAGTTTTCCAAAAGCACTATATGCCTTTGCTAATCTGTTGTCTATCTCTCTGTCAATCTTACCATCCGAGGAGATGAGGCTACCTAGGTAATTAAACTGCTGGACTGATTTGAGCTCTGGTTGGCCAATGGTGATATGGGGATGATGGAACACTTCCTGAGGTGCTGGTTGATGGAGAACTTCTGTCTTCTTTAAGCTGACTTCCAGACCAAAGAGTTCAGCAGCATCTGCAAAGCAGGATGTTAAACGCTGCAGAGCTGTTTCTGTGTGGGCCACAAGGGTGGCATCAACAGCATAGAGCAGCTCCTGGACAAGATGGTTTAAGGTCTTAGTGTGGGCCTTCAGTCGCCTTAGGTTGAAAAGGCTTCCATCAGTACGATATCAAATGTAGATACCGTCCTGATCATCGAGGTCTGCCGCGGCCCTTTGGAGCATCATGCTGAAAAAGACTGTGAATAGGGTTGGTGCAAGAACACAGCCTTGTTTCACACCACTGGTTATTAGAAAGGGCTCAGAAAGTGCATTGCCATATCTGACTTGGCCGCGCTGATCCTTATGAAGTGAGATGATCATTTTAAGGAACTTTGGGGGACATCCTAAATGTTCCAAAATCTGCCATTGACTTTTTCTGCTCACAGTATCGAATGCCTTAGTGAGATCAACAAAGGTTACATAGAGACCTTTATTCTGTTCCCTACACTTTTATTGCAGTTGTCTGAGAACAAATACCATCTCTGTGGTACTTCTGTTGGTTCTAAAACCACATTGGCTTTCAGGTAGAATTCCTTCTGCTATAGCGGGTATTAATCTGTTCAAGAGTATTCTTGCCAGGATTTTGTCAGCAATGGAGAGCAGAGTAATACCACGGTAATTTGAACAGTCTGATTTAATTCCTTTCTTCTTATACAAAGTGATGATGACTGTATCACAAAGGTCTGATGGGAGTTCGCCAAGTTCCCAACAGCGCACCACAAACTCGTGAAATTTAGCATGGAGTGCAAGGCCCCCATGTTTCTAGATTTCAGGTGGAATTCCATCAACCCCACCTGCCTTAAGAGTTTCTCCCAAAGTGGGGGCAATATTCATTTCAGTCTTCACCGGTTGTTGTGAGATGGACTGAATTGCTGAGTCTTGGACTACACGGTTGGTACTGAAAAGAGTCTGAAAGTGTTCAGACCAACGAGTCAGAATGGAGGTTTTATCTGTTAGAAGCATTTGACCATCAGCGCTGAGTGGAGGGCTTTGGACCTGGTATGTAGGCCCGTATGCTGTTTTCAAGGCCTCATAGAATCCTTTGTGATCACTTTTATCTGCGCATAATTGGTTTTTTTTCTGCTAGATTGATCCACCACTCATTCTGGATGTCACAGAGTTTCTGTTGGAGCTTGCTGCATGCAAGACGAAAGGCTGCTTTTCTTACGTGACAGGAAGGCAGTGCAAGGTGTGCTTGATGAGCAGTTCTCTTCTTCCTCAACAATTCCTGGATATCTTGATTGTTTTCATCAGTCCTTGTTCTTCTTGAAGGAGAACCCTAAGGATTCTTCAGAGGACTGCTGGATGCCGGTTTTAATATGGTGCCAGAGTGTTTCCGGAGAGGGATCTATAGAATCTATAGAATGATTTTCGAGCCTAGTTTGAAGATTTGCCTGGAATCTGTCTCTCACTGTGGCTGATTGGAGACTGTTAACTTGGAGTGTCCTCTTTGGGATACCACCCCTTTTAGGTTTGAACTTAAGATTGAAGTTAAGTTTGCAGCGCACAAGCCGATGGTCTGTTTGGCATTCTGCACTAGGCATCACACAGATATGATGGACATTGTGAACATCTCTCCATCGCACCATGACATAATCAATGAGATGCCAATGCTCAGATCTAGGATGCATCCAGGTTGTCTTCAGGCTATTTTTCTGTTGAAAGATAATATTAGTGATGGTGAGCTGTTGCTCCGCACAGAATTCTAGCAGAAGGCGACCATTATCTTTGCAGTTTCCAACCTCATGCTTGCCTAATACTCCTTTCCAGGATTCAAAGTTCTTTCCTACTCTGGTGTTGAAATCACTAAGGATAATGATCTTATCATCTGCAGGAACCTTTTGGGTAAGGTGGTACAGGTCAGTGTAAAATTTATCTTTTTCGGCAGGGTCAGTTGGGAGAGTTGGGGCACATATACTAAAGAGGACAACATGTTGCTTGTTGTGTAGTGGAAGACATAGGGAGATAATGCAGTCAGAATGACCAGTCGGCAGATTTTCGAGATTAGGAACAATAGAGTTTTAAATCATGAAGCCAACTCCTGAGAGATGCTTTTCAGTTCTGGGTTTACCTGACCAAAAGGGTGTGTAACCGGCACCATGTTCTCTGAGGCTGCCTTCCTCGTGAAGGTGAACTTCACTGAGAGCAGCTATGTTGGTGTTGAGACGTGATAGTTCGTGGGCGATTAGGATGCTCAGGGCATCCACTATTCGCAGAATCAAGCATGGTTCTGATGTTCCAGCATGCTAGAGTTAATTTAGGTACACCTTTGGAGGCAGGTGCATGCCTTTGTCTCTTGATCTTTGTGTGACTGCATTAGTAGAAGATGTCGTTGGCCTGCGGTTAACCAACTGGGTGAAATGTGGAGATGAGCTTTGTTTAGGCCACCTTTTCTAGGCCCCTCTCCGAGTGGAGCAAGCAGTGCTGTCCTTGGAAAGGCTGCTTGGTCATTCAGGGTGCTGCCCCAAGAGACTGTCATCTCCGGTCAGTCTCAAATGACCAATATCCTGAACCGCCTGCATGCAGGGTTGGGTCTGCGGCTTCCAGTGCACCTTTCACCTGCCGTTTCAATCCTTACCTGTCGCTACAGGGCTTTGTGAATGTGGGTAAAGCCTTCAAGCCTGCGCAATGGATTTTTTAGGTGAGATGCAGTATGCACGGAACTGGGCCCACCCTTTGATCCTAAGATTCATCTGCCAGGGCCGAGCGAGCTTGGACAGTGGCAGTGAGGTCCTCAGGACGCAGGTTTGATTAGAGTGACCTTCTCTTAGATGGATGGCCTTACGGGGCTAAGCGAGCTCCATCTGCCCGGGTTTGGGATTAGAGCTGTCCTTCTCCTAGGATGACTGCCAGAAGGCTAGCGGGCTCATCCTGCCCGTGGATATATTGTGTCTGACCCTGTGGTTTTGACCTATCTGGCATGGGAGACCCTGTCGAGGCATGTACCATCAACAGCATAGCTCGCAACTGCAAAGGGGTACACAGACTTCTTTCCACTAAAGTGGATTGGGGCAAGCCATTCACCCCCCTACTTTTCTGCCACCAATCTTTGGGAAATACCCAGGAACATCCCTTTGTCCTGACCATCCATTCAGGACACAGTAAATATATCCAAGACATACCGAACCTGGGCAGTAGCTGCAGGTGAGCCAAAAATAAATCGTTTCAGCCCCTGCACCCACCTGGGGCATGGGTATTTCCCAAGGCCCCAGCCTGGCCGAGACCCCTCCAACTCCCCAGATCAACCCACTATCCACCCTGACCTTATCCTCCCCCCAGTCATGTTACCACCTATCTTCCCATGCACTGCTCACCCGCAACACACCATACACTCCATATGGGACTACCCCGCCTGGCCTCCTGCCAGCCCGAGGACCCCCACAACCCACCCAACATCCCACCCCTCCCCCAAACCGGACTACCAAACCTCTGTGTGCTCCAAGGTTCTCCCTCTTCTCTCCCACGAGGGCGCAGTCCTCGCTGGCAAAACTCCCCCTTTGGGGTTGGGTGCCCAGGGGCTGCCCCAGGGGGGGCCAGGCGCCCGCAGTGCATGCCAGGGGTGCTGGGCACCCGCAGTGTATGCCCTAAGCATGAATGTTATACATGTAAGCAGATAGCAAAGAAAGGAACAATAGGTAAAACAACAGCACAGAACTGAATGTGCTAATGTCAAAGTATTGACAGGAGGTCAGACTAAGTAAATATGGAAGTAATATGGCAGTACGGAAAATTGCATAGTTATTAATTTCTTAAATTTGAAGGGCTTTGTTTTTTGATTCTTATACCATTTGCTAGGTCATGCAGCACTATTTCCGGAAGCAAACTAGTGTACTCTTGATTTGGTTGAATATAGTAATTCCTAGGTTCCTATGTGAGGTGATTGTCTAACACACCTCTCCTAAAAATTTGTGTGCTTTAATTGGTTAGTATCTATCCATACTTCAAGAGCATACATTTATCAGAGGCAGTGTTAAAATACGGTTTCTTTCCCTGGCTGCACAACGAGGTGCAGAGTGGTGCTTTACTATGTGACTAGGACTCCTAGGCATTATGATATTATAAATTATAGACCACAATAGAAAGGGCTTTAATGGTACACTTTGCATAATCTTAGTTAAGTGAACATGAATTGAAATGGCTTTTAATTTTACAAGCACGGTCTTTGTTGACATGATCTCTATTGTATGAATCATTTAGTTATGCAATGTTTCAGTTAACTTGTTTCTTTTTTTCCCTCTCAACACCTTCAGAATGCATTCTCCTCCCAAGATTTTTTGAAAACTTGTTTTCTCTTTTCAGCATGTATTTATGTGAAACCTTTTTCCATCATACTTATGCAGGGGTTATATCTGAAGTGAATGATGTCAGCATATTCCCGGAGATTAGTACAACCTTCAAACTAAAGCAACTGCAGATGCTTAGCCCCAAGTTCCTTACAGGTTTTGCATTACTAAAATAGATTGTACAGGAACAAGGACTGTTGAATAAGGAGTGGAGAAAGGTCTCCAGTGTCAGAAAAATGTTAATACATGGCCAAATGGTCAAAAAATGTGTTATATTATAGTAGCAGAAAAGTTGTTTTCCATTACAAACACAGAAAGGTTAGGAAAATAAATTCATCTGCTTTTAGAGTCTTGGAAACTATGTGCTAAGACTAAATTGTTTCTCTTTTTCGAGTTTGCCTTGAAATGTTGGATGAACATAAAAATCTCTTATCCTATATGTAAGGTGTTGGAAAATGTCCTCTAAAGAAAAAATGACATGGTATGGCAAACAGATGAGTAATAATGTTTTCATCTCAGCTGATGTTTCTTGCATCAGTTCCTATATCAGCAAAGGTTTCATTTTGAATATAAGACTTGGATAAAGCATTTCAACAGTATCTAGTTACAAACATCATGTTTCCTTTCATATTTTATGTTAAAACTACAGATTTCTTTTGCTTCTCAGAAAATCCATAAAATAATCACAGACCTTGCCCCATTAAGTAAATCCTTTTTGAGAGCTAAATGTGAATATTTTTTTTCCCACAGTTTTAAGTGAAACTAAAACCCATGTCCCACTTTTAAATAAGGTCTTTGTAGGGTCTTTGGGATACTTTACAAGTTGTGAAAAAAATTGGGGAGCCAGTGGTTTTGGTTTCATTCCAACTGGAATGCCTAGTGACGATCTGCCAATTGAATTCAATCCAGCACTCCTCCAGTAGTAAAATAATCAATAGCAGTAGAAGTAATAGCTGAGTATCAAATTGAATAATGGCTTGTAGTCTAACCTGATGACATCAGTATTCAATAATTCTTGAACCTTTCAACTCAGACTGAAGTTTTCAAACTTCTACTTTTGGCCAATATGCACTGGGCTTTTTTTCAGGGTTTTTTTTATTTGTTTGACTTTGCCTGTAGTTTTTCTTAATTCTTTTCCAAAGTTTGAAGGAGAAAAAAGTTTAGGCTTTTCAAGTATGTAAAAATTGAGGAAAGACACTCTTGACGGTAAACAATTATCATCACATTTTTTTATAATCATTCTACAGCCAAAACAGCTGGGGGATGAAAGTTTAAATTTAGCAGGGAAACAGCACTAAGGAGAAGTGCTTTTGAGTGTTCTGGAGAAAATTGATTTTGATGTGATTTAGTTATAGACTTTTGAAACTCCATGTACTGAGCATGTAACACTAGTTTCTCATTAAGTTTCACAGGTACATTCTTCAATGGAGAATTACATTAGTTTAGATGCAAAAGTTTCACCTCAGGACATATTTACTTTACATAATCTCACAGAAAACCTCTCAGCCCTCTGCAGTGGGGTATTCTCCAGAAATAAACATTCATATCAGATAAATGTGATTTTTTACTCCAGAAAGAAAATAAAATAATCCAGAGGCCAAAATATTGCTGCTAATTCATGTTATGATTTCAAGTTGACTGTAATGCGTTACTTTTGTGCCTATTACTCAGACAATAAAATAGTGTGCTTCACTTCTTTATTTGGGGTTTCAATCTTCTCAAAAGCTATAGTTTTCAGCCATGCAGTTTATGCTTTGAAAGTTGCAATATTTTTGTCTTTTAAGACATATCATTCTCTGATTCCTGAAGTGTTCTCTTACATAAAACAGATTGCTTGAAGGCACATAGATGACTTTAAATATTTCTGCACTTCACAGTGAATTGCTCGTTCACCTGAGTGTTTAACTATGTCAGTGTATTCAACATTATCATATTTAATTGGATGGTTCAACAAGATAATATGCCAGTGGACACAGAATTCAATGTATTATTGGCTCACAATAAATAAGGCAACTCTCAAATAAAACACAGGGGCTTTAACAAGAAGAAATTATGTATAATTGAGAGAAACACGATTGCATTGATGGTTTGCTAAAGGCTGATAACCTATCAATTCTTACAAATTTGAAAATCTGTAAATTTGTAAAAATAGTGTCATGAAAGAGAATGCATTTAAATACCATAATTAGGACAGACAACTGCAGTCTCCATCGTTGGTGATCCATTTCATACTCTGAGTTACATATGCAGAACATTTAAACCGACTCATTTGTTCTCTAAGGTCCAAAGTTTTATATTTTAAAGCCATTGATCTCACTTCTTAAAGGTCCTCCTTGAAGGAGGATGCTGGTGTCAGCAACACAGCTATTTCTGTTTTCCAAAGCAATCTGCACTCACTGATTGCCCTGATGTAAGACCAGTGTTGAGCGAAAACCAAGAAAAAGGGATGCTAAGAAATTATGCCAACAGAAACAATTCCTCATCACTCCGTGAAACTTTTGCAAAAATAGGCTATCAACATTACTCATAGATATCACTAGATCCATCAAAAATAAAGCATAGTCTGTAATAGTCTTTAGGCAAATAAAATTTTGCTTAGGCTATACAAAAACAGGTTCTTTAACTTAGATGAGTAGTAAAACTGTAACCAGGATGTTTAAGAAATTATTCCCTTTTCCATCCTTTCTACTGCACAAATGGATCGTGTTCATTCTCAGTTAAAAAAAAAGGCAAGGGAAGAAGAATTTTTCAACTAAACACCAAGCTATCCTGAAATCAGAGATGCTGCTTTTTGTCCTTGAGGTAGAGTTTTATGTGTCTCATTCTGCTTATCATCCACTACTCACTCCCCAGTAACATTATTGCTGCCATGATGCACTAGGATTTTTTTTCCTTAATAGGTTGCTGAAATGAGTAAATGGCATCTGCATCAGGTGTATTATCAGAGTTGTAGAGATATGACAGTCCGAAGCATGAGTAAAGTGTGCGCAAAAATATTGCAGTGGTATCACATGCATAAAGTACTAGGTTTGTGTATTTGATTTTCTGGCACAAAAAAGATTGGGGATTTTTTGGAAAATAGTTTTTTTGAGTCTTTTTTTGTCTCAAAAGACAACTGAGAGAAAATTCACAATAAAAGCCAAAAATAAGACATATAATGTAATAAAATTGAGTATATGCCTGTAAAAGCTCAGGGTTGCAGCCGCAGATAAGCGTACAGTGATGTTCATGTCATACTTTTTCCTCTATAAAGTGTTCATTTTATATCATTGTTTTTTGAATAGAAGGTGTTTTAAAAATAAAATTTATTGCATATAGAGACTAGAATAAGACACACTAGGACATGAATTGGTAAACTGTTAATATACTTCTTAGTCAGTCAAAGGCTCAAAAAAAAATGTATGTGAGTTGTGTAGCATAGGATACTGATGGGCACTGAGCTTACTGCTCTGTTCTCTGTACATTCTGGGTGCCACATGTAAATAAGTAGGTATGTTCACAGAGGAATATTTCAGCTCTTAAAACTTGCTGGAACATTTCAAACTAAACCACTTCTAACTAGTTATCAGTAAACTTTATTGATCTCTACAAAATATTTACTGATGTTTAGATTTGCCTTTTATACTATATGTCATGGACAAGTTCCAGCATCCAGCATCTTGCTACTGAAGTTCACCCTAATTCCATTTCGTTTCACAGGTCAGAATGTTGAATTGACTTACCTTTTCAGATTTGACCACATCATATCTACTTCTGTTTAATGAGTTCATTTTGTGCAACTGCATCTGAAATTCTATGCATCAGAGAAATATTTTGGAGACTTTTTTTCCTACTTTACTCAAGAAAAAGAAGCAATTGTTGCATTGTTATATTCTAGGTTAAGCCACACATCTATACAATTCTAAAGTTTTTTTTTCTTTTTATATTTTCTTTCAACAGAAGACATTGGAAGGAAATTTCTAACTATCAAAGAAGCAAGATTTTGAAACAACTTTTTGAGGGGACAAGGAAAAAAATTAGTCACCTTTAAAAAAGATTTATAATCAGTCTAAATTAAGGAGTATTAATCTTGCAATAAAAGAAGACAAAATGTATTGACATAAGAACTCCTTTTATACATGTTCCTGCTGTGGCTCATCTAACAGTCATGTATTAAGATTTCTATCATGCTCAAAATTCAATTACAAAACTTGTATTTTTATGATACAGTTTTTCTAAAAGAGGTACCTTTAGCACTTACATGTTCTATTGGTAATTTATCTGTAAACCATGAAAACCTTTACCCTCTTTTCCGTAATTTTCTTTTATTCTTCCTGTATTTATCTGTTTAAATAAGTAATTTCATACGTATTTGAAATATGTATAGGTATGGATACTGCATTAGTTAGAATCATGACTCAAAATTTTTCAGTAATAGATCCAAAATGATGTAGTACCCTGTCCCAATCAAGTTAAATCCTGATATAAAGGCTATCTTCTGCTTCTCTATCTGTCTTATTATTAGTCACTTGTATCATCATTTAGAATATTCAAAAATTAGCAGCAAGAATTCAGTTCAGTGACTTGGATTATCATTAACTAGTCAGATGGATACATGACTAAAAATCTGTCATAGTCATTTTAACCAGTAAATTTGTCAGTTTTTCATTCATCTGATATAAGTAGTCTGGGAGATCTAGGAGGTGATTTGGAGATATCATGTAAACAAATATAAATCTTCATATTATGTCATAGTGTTCACAACCTCTTTATCAGCATTTTTTAAATAATCCTCTACCCTAAGGTCTTAAAAATAGATTTAAAAACTTTGTAGGATTGGGATAAGTAGAATTTTAGCTTAGAAGGTCAGCTGATGAGTTTTTTTTCTTCTTTAGCAGCTACAGTCCTTCTATATTGAAAACTGAGATATTGGAAAAAATAGGATATATGGTAGCAGCGTTTTGCCTGTTCTTTCTCAAAATGCTGTCCTGGGTATGTCTGAAACATGTTTGGGTCTGTAGCTGAGATCAGAAGATGCACTGAAAGGTGGAAACACTTTATATGTATTTGTATAGAGATGTTCCAGGCAGTCCCCACACTGTGGCTCATTCAAGAAATTAAATAAAAGTAGGTGAGAGAAGGAAGGGAGGGGAATAAAATAAACTTCAGAATCTAGGATTAGATGTGATTGATCATTGGTTTTGGTAGCTTGCTGGGAATTTTTGATGTTTTGTAGTAAATTAATAAATAAACAATGCACTATCTCTCAAACTGAAATTTGGCAGAAGGCAGTTAGTCTGGATCAATTAATGTCAGAAAACAAAACTCATACAGTAATGAAACACCTTTTAAAAGAACACTTAGTATGTGTATCTTAAGCTTTTAAACAAGTCAAGAATTTCTGAGGTTAAACAGGTCTGATACCACCTTATTTTAATTGAATGCATTGTATTTTAAATATACATTATAGATTACAAGTTCTCCTCTACTTAGTTTGTACTGGTTTTGTCTCTGAAACGGGAATTGCAGACTAGCTGCTCTGAGCTACAGACCAGACCTGTAGTGAGACGTGCAACTGCAGTTGCTTAAGCAATTTTTTAAAAACCTGTTATATAACAAGTTTACCCTTGGCAAGTAAGAGACATTTAAAGAGGTGAATGAAGTGGTCAAAACAGGTCAAAGTCATTAACTCCAAAATTATTTTTTCTCCATTACCGAATTGGACACCACCACCAGCGCTGGATGAAAAGCAACTCTAGATCACTTTGGTGTTCATATTTTCCAATATCAGTATAAGAAGGGTAGGTAAGAAAAATTGCAGACTGAATCTTTAGACCAGGTTTCTGCTGGTGCAACATCACAGAATCAGCTAGTGTGAAGACAACAGACCTTGACTCAAAGTAGTGTATACAATCTACATTTTAAGTATGCCCAAATAATACGTGGATAGACACAATACACGTACATATACTAACATATTCACTTCAATACAAATAAAGTACATAGTATATAGGTTAGACATTTTTAAGACCAAAGATATTTAGAGGTTTATATTAGCATACTCATCCTGTTGGGACTATCGGGAGGCAGAATTTGAAGTAAAGAGTACATGCAGAGATTTGGATTCGTGGAAGAAACCCTGCATCCACCATAGAAAATATACATCATTAAGAACTCTGTCACTATGTATTAACAACATGTGGACATCTCCCTTTGATCAGCATCCTGAGTGCAAATCACCCTCATATCAAGGTTTTAAGCAATGCAAGTCTATGCTCCCTGCCTCTAAAAGAATGTTTCAGTCACTGCAAATTAAATGGAAGATTAAAACTAACTTTTGTGGCTATGCAGTAATAGAAAATCTATTTATGTTATTTTACACCTCTATAGGAGAGGGTGACAAGCCTCAAGTTAAGGAAGGAGCCCAGCGCTTGTACAAAAGGAAGAAGTTTCCCATCTAAAATGCCTGGCTCTTTAAGATGTGGCTTTCTGGCTTTTGAATGTCATTCCAGCGCTGTTGTTCCTCTCTTGCTAGAGAATTGTCAAAGTGATGTCATGCAGAATCATTTCAGTTCTTGAAAAATGTCCTCCCTGTAACATTTTATCTCTTCCAAATGACACTTATTCTTAACAACTCACTGAAATATTTATCCACTTGAGACTAAGATTATACCCTACGAAATGAAGGCTCTTTTGAAATCCTACCTCTTCCAAATCAACACGTGCTACAACCAGAAAAAAAAGAAATTTGAGCGTAAGCCAAAGGAGCAACACTGGAAGGCCAAATCAGAGGACCTACACATACAATACAAAGCTTGATTAAGTATTTAGTACTTTCTTGAACTTCATGTTACCCAGGACACTTTATGTGTCTTTTCTATCGGTCTCCCATCTTCCAATCTATGTCTTTGTATTTTTGTTTTTCTCCATTACAGATGTCATTGCTTATAATATATGATCTGTATTAACAAATCAACAAAGCAGCCTCTACAGTTAGTACATTTTTCTTTATCTGTTAATCTTTTCAATGGTGTAAGTTATATAGATACTACAAAACCATTTACAGTAGCTCAGGCATTGCAGACACATGCACATAAGTGTATAGAGAGAGCCACACATACTAGTCAGACATTCAGAAAAATGAGTAATGCAGAGTTATTGTTGCACATCTCATATCGGGCTTCTTATCTGCATTATAACAGCTCAAGAGACATGCCCAAAGATGCTCAGAAACTCAGGCTCCTTTCACATTTTCAGGGCTTGTAGTTTGATGAATTTGCTCTTTTAGTCCCCTGAACTCCTTTGACAACTGGAACACTAATGTTGTTCAAGCTTTGTATGTCTGAACAATTTTTTTTTTCCCCAGGAAGGTCAGACTTAACCTATGACATCAATGGAAAATGGAAATTTCCTAAACATGTTTGCCAAGAGTGGCTGTTGAAAGACATTTTAATTTAAAAAAAATAATCAGGTAGTGGTACTCATCCACCCATATTTGGGAAAATCTGTCATAATTGCCCTAGATGACCAATTTAGGTACAAAGGAGATGTTTTAAAGAAATTTTATCTTTCAGAAATTACTATTCTTTTGCTCTCATATGCCGATCATTCACTTTTATTGTGTTGTTGAACTGATTATCTTCAGTTTCTGATATGCCAAAGTAGAATACAAATGTATTACTTACTCTCTAAGATTCTCTGGGTGGGCTTTATCTCATTTAGTGTCAATCATCCCAAAGTTGGTATGTGCTCCCATCAAAGCTCAGAGAGGATAGCACTCTAACCAGTAGCTTATGGCTACACACTGCAGTCCAGCCTACATTGTGTATAGTTGAGGTTAGGGGCAGTGAATCTGCAACTCCACATTATGCAAACAGGACTGTCATGTGGAGATTTGGATATCATTCAATTTTCTTGCCTTAGAAGTACCCAGAAGCAAAAAACCCTAGTCATCAGGTTTCCAAACCATGGAGATTATATATTTCATTTCCAGGTTCTGGACTGTTCTCCCTGACACCCGTATATTCCCCAAAAGCCTCAGGTTTCACAAAAAATTAGGTTCTATTCCAAAGTGTGATTTTGTTGTCTATATTAATCATGTTACAAAGCCATTTTATTACTGTCCCAGGATCATTTCCAGCCTATAGACATTACTTCTCCTGGGGATGCCAAGACGCTCATACGTTTGTCTTTTATTTCTCACCTGGGTTATTGTAATTCATTACTTGCTGGTTCACTTGTCACTTTTTGTTTTAGTTGCTTACAGCTGGTGCAAAATTTGGCGGCTTGATTGTTTATGAGATTTCTAATTACATTACTGCAATAATGAAATAGCTTCACTAGCCACTTGTGAAACAGCAGATTGCTTTTAAGAGTTTACTCCTAACAAATAAATATGCACAAAAGGCCATTTGTTGCGTGCGCCGTTATAAAGTGAACGTTTCCTTTATTCTGACTGTCTTTTGAATGATGGGAGTTTCAGCTCTTAAATTGTTGTTGTTCTATATAACTGTAACACTTAGATTTCACAGCGTTCTTATTAGCTAAGTATTACTTTCTCAATTTTTATGACCTATTTCTTTTCCCTACTCCTGGTGATTTATTCTAAAACTTATCTGGTACCAAACAAAGATATATGTCCATATATTCACTGATATCAGACAGTGGAACATTATTTTGATTGAGTACTAAAGCCTTTTCAACTCTGCCATTTCAAGATAGCAAAGGTAGTGATGTGGTCTGTAGCCTATCACTTGTCCTGAAAGGGGTTTCTAAAAAAGTGAGGCTGAAATAAAACAGCACTGAAAACTAAAAAAAAAAACAAAAAAACCCAAAAAAACAAAAACAAACAAGCAAAAAAACCCCACCAAAACTAACAAAAAACCAACCACAACTATTTTAAACAAAATTAAAGAACATCTGATTAGAATTTAAGATTATTTCCCCTGAGTTTTCAGGTTCATTTGAACTAAAACTTACAGTAAAGGGTAGACTACAGTTAACAAAAAAAAAACAAAAAAAACAAAAAAATGCAGTTCCTAGGTTCATTTATAAATGAAACCTTGAAGAAACCTCTATGTAAGCACAGCAGCAATGCTTTATTTCATTTGCTTACAAAA